AGGAATGCCAAGGTCGAGAGATTCTGCTTTTAAAAAATATAATAAGGCAGGGAAATACTTGGCAATAATGCTCTTGTGTGGAAGAGAAGGGACTGTAAACATATTTCTGTATTTCGTCTCCACTTGCCCATTGAGATGTCAATTTGAAAACTCTTCTCTGTGCGTCTGCAATCTATCAGGTAGATTAAGAATGTCAAAGGTTTGTTTTTTTTTTATCAGTGATCAGTGTTTTGTGTATTTTTGAAAGGTCAAGCCTTGTCATAAGAAAGAGCAGAAAGCCCTTCATGCAAATCATACTTGAAATTATCCCAAGTAGCTTTTAAAAATTAATGTCATTAAATTCAGTGGTGCAAGTAGCCAGGTGGTTTCTAATCCAGGGTCAAAGCCTGGGAAGTGGTGGGAGGGGGCGAGGCAAGAGGATAAATAGCAGAGCTTCTTTCCAGCTTTGCTCTTTATGTTGTCAAGACCACCCCCCCCCATGAATATTTGTACTTATCCTGGTATTCCTTCACGTTTGTCCTAGGCCTTGGGATGACTGACCAGGGCAAGGTTTAGAAGTATCATTATGGGGACCACCAGTTGGCATAATGGCTATGTCGTGGGACTCCTGTGTAGTGGATCATGGTTCGAGTCCCGGATCTGGTGGCTTAAACTTACGCCGGGCACATGTGCATGCGTGCCCAAGATCCCAAGAGGAGAATGGAGGAGAAGGGATTGTGATATGGCCATCCCCCCTGGGGGGTGATTTCTCACTTTCTGTCTCTCTGTTCCTCTCTCTCTTTCTGGCGAGCACACGTACCCTATAGCAAAAACCTTTCAAAAAAATCAATAAATAAGGAAGAAGTATCATTATGTACCTATGACAGTGAGCGCCATGGTTTATTTTCCAGATACAAAGTATGTGGGGGATACGTGAAGGAAAAGATGTGCTGCCGCTATGCATGGGGGTGGGTGCTCTGGCTGCAGTCCCCAGATCTAGGTGTGTGTGGGGCTGGGGAGGCTTAGTACTCAAGGAAAAATCAGATGGTCTGAAGTCAAGGCAAAGAAGCTAAGCAGGTAACTTGGACAGCTTTCTACTCTTCTTTTTTCTTTTCCTTTCTTTTCTTTTTTTATTTCTTTTTTGAATCATGTCTGCCCAAATCAATGAACTGGGTTTTATGAGCTGCTTCACAGACATACAGAGAAAAAAAAAAAATAGCTAAGCAAGAATAGGGGAAGCCAGGAGGGATCTAAATTGAATATCACAGCTCCTGCAGTGTAGTTGTTGACAAAAACAAGCAGTTTTCCCTGAGAAGCGTGTGTAAAATGTCAGAAAGAAAAAAGAACAATTAGCACTCTTCCTGCATTACATTGTATTAATATTCCCATAGTCACTGTAATCACTTAATAGGAAACGTGGTCCTGTGGGTTTTATATTTTCCTTTCTTTTTTGCTTTTTTTTCTTTCCTTTTTTTTTCTTTTTTTTCTTTTTTTTTTTTTGAGTTTTGCTTTAAGATGTGTCACTCCCTAGAGAGAGAAGGGGGTGGGGAGTGAGAAATCACCCTCCAGGGTGGACGGCCACACCGAAATCCCTTGTCCTCTATTCTCCTCCCAGAATCTTGGGCACGCACATGCGTCCAGCATGATTTTCAAGTCACCAGGTTCGGGATTCAAACTGCGGTCAACCACGTGGGAGTCCAGAGACATAACTGCTACGCCATCTGCTGGCTCCCTCTTCTTGTGTTTTCTACCACTAGTCAGTAAACTATATATGCATTGGACTGTCATAGCCACATCATCCTTTGCAAGGAAAGAGCGTCATTTCTCTGAGCACCCAGTTTACAGCGAGGAGGTTTCCTGTCCTAGATCTAACCCACAGACCAGCACCTGCTTGAGTTCAATGTTGTTGGTGGTGGTGGGTTTTTTTTGGGTTTTGGTTTTTCTTATGTTGAGTCGTTGGAAAAGTTATGGTGTATTTTTCTATGCAAAAAATGTGTCATGATTTTTCCAACAACCCACTATCGAGCTGGCTAGCTATGTCTGTGTGTCCATTTGTATATTCATTCATTCATCCACCTATATATCTGTATTAGTTTCTATTATCTATCTGTATTAGTTTCCTAGGTTGGCTGTAACAAATGATCACAAACCTGGTAGCTGGAAAAACAGAAATGTATTCGCTCATGGTTCTGGGAGCCAGAAATCTAAAATCAATGTATTGGCCAACCCCTGCTCCTTCAAGACTCTGTGGGAAAATTCTTTTCTACCTTTTTTTTTTTTTAGCTTCTGGAAGCTCCAGGCACTTCCTGTTTGTGGCTTCGTAACTCAGAACTCTATATCTTCAAGTGACCTTTTCGACTGTGTCTTTTCCTCTTCTGTCTCTAATAAGGGCATTGGTCAATGGACTTAGGATCCACCTGGATAATCCAGGATGATTCATCTTGAGATCTTGAATTTAATCGCTGCTTTAAAAACCTTTTCTCCTGATAAGTTCGCATTCACAGGTTCCGAGCATTAAGGCATAGAGGTATCTTTTTTGGGGGTGTGTCGGGGGGTGTTACCATTCAACCCATTGCTCTATCTAGTTTTCATCTATCCAAATCCTCTTTGTTTTCTAGAAAGTCATAGTGAATGATACATGCTTATCAATTTATAAATGTGGTCTTATTTTAAAGTGGCCCCAATTAATGACTGGGCTAATTGTCTTACTTTCTTTTAAAGATATTTTAGCAGGGCCAGCAGGGGCGTGGTCGTTGGGTGCTGAACTCCCACATGGCTGACCATGGTTCAGATCCTGGACCTAGTGACTTGTTTTTTCATTGTCCATTTCTCTCTCGCTCTCTGATCAAATTAAAATAATAATAAATAAAATTAAATAATATATTTTTTAAAAGATGTTTTATCATTAATTCTCAGGAATATGTGGACATAGACATTCCAACTTTGCAAAGTAAATATGTATTTCAAACTAAAGCCCAGATATCTAACAGCCAAAGGAAGAACAGTCAGTATGTCAAACTGTTATTATAACCCATAAGATTGCTGGTGTTCATAGGTATTACTCCTTGGACTGCAATTAACTTCCTAGGTGGTCTGAAGAATTTCTAGCTCCCTGTAAGGGATAAACATCTCAGTTGAATTGACTCTATTTACCCCTTACTAATTTAGATGCCCTAGCAGAGAGAAAAAGAAATTCATCAGAGCTTTAATAGAGGAAAAAATAATAATATCAATATGAGGGCTGGCAGGTGGCATGGTGGTTAAGGGCACTGGACTCCCACATGGTCAACCGCAGTTCAAGTCCTAGACCTGGTGGTTTGCTTTCTCACTTTCCCTCTCTCTCTCAGTCTCTCTCTGATCAAAACTGGAAAATAATAAATAATAAATAAACTTAAATAAAAAATTTTAAAATGTAAAATTAATATCAATATGTTTGCTTTTAAATGCTTTACTGAATTAAGTTAGAACATGAGGACCAATGTTGGCCATGTGCCCTGTTGGTTCCGGAAGCAGTGGGGCAGAGGCAGGAGCATGTGAGGTGTCCCTCAGTCTACATTGCCCTCTAAACTGTTCCCTGCCGCATTCCTCATGTTTTATTTTTTTTAAAGAATTTTTTTATTTAACCTTATTTATTTGCATATTTATTTATTTGTTTTAATTTGACCATAGAGGGACAGAGTGAGAGAGAAAGTGAGAACGCAAGCCACCAGGTCCGGGACTCGAACCATGGTCAGCCATGTGGGAATCCAGCACCCTTAACCACCATGCCACCTGCTGGCCCCAATCCTCATGTTTTGCTCTGTGGTGACAGACTGGGCTTGGGATCAGCCTGTGGCCTGGTGATTAGGGCAGCTCTCTCCCATATGGCCAATGGTGCAGTTCAAGGAAAATTCTGAGTGTGTGTGCATGTGTGTCCAAAATCCAGAGAAGAAGGAGAAATGGAGGGGAAGGGATTGTGTTGTGCTCATGCCCCATAGTGAGGGTACTTTCTTACTCTCTTTCTCCAGCTCTATCTCTGCGTACTTTGGCAAAAAATAAGTATATAAATTAAAAATCTGGGTTTGGTGTGGAATTAAGAAACAGTGTTGTTTGTTTCTCTCCACACACCTGCTTGCAGCGGAAAGCTACAAAGAAACTCAGATGGTGAAGATCAAAGAGGAACCCATGGAAGTGGACATCCAGGACTCCCATGTCTCCATATCACCCAGCCGGAACGTTGGCTACAGCACTTTAATCGGGCGCGAAAAAACCGAACCGTTACAGAAGATGCCAGAGGGCAGAGTACCGCCAGAGAGAAACCTCTTCAGCCAGGATATCTCCGTGAAGATGGCTTCCGAGCTTCTCTTCCAACTATCAGGTACGTTTCCACACCAAAACTGTCAGTAACTAGGAATCATTGGATGGGAAACCCTCTTAACCAAGTGGGAAAACAAAACAAAACAAAACAACCAACCTGCATTACAGGATTCGTTAGACAGAAATCAATTGTGTTACTTTAATATGCATACTGTCACCCAGACTAACAGTTAGTAAAGCATTGTCAAGTAGAATTCTGGCCAGACTTTTTCAAATAAATAGTTGAGAATCATTTGAAATTAGAACTCTATTCAGTTCTGTGCTTATGATCCATGTTTAGTGGGCTAAACATCTTACCTCTGATTTTGTTTAGTTGATCTGATTAATGGCCTCTTCTTTTTTTCTAGTATACAAAAGATAAACTTCAGTTTACTCCAAGCGCAATTGACTGATTTCCCACAAATCCCAAATTAATCTGGTCTAAATTAGTAATATCTCATTGTATCTTGCCAAAACAAAAATTAAAAAAAAAAATCAAGGGAAAAGTAAAAGATGAAAACATGAATACTATTTCCAGCTATCACCTGGCATCACAGTTTCTATAAACCCAAGGTTTTGTACTTCAAATTCTTGGAATTCAAAAGTGCAATTCAGTAAAAGTGTCTTGATAAAATAATTCTGAGGGACTTAGTGGCTAAGTTACTCCCTTTGTTGATTTAACCCTCAACTTTTTGTCCCTAACAAACTTAATTTACTATTAATCTTTGGACATGCTTGAAATTGATGATATATAGACATAGAAGATTCAGAATTTGTTGGAAATACATATTCCTTGTTCATAAGCAGGCATTGGTCTATATATTGAAGTTCACGCATCAGTAGAGTATGTTTGATAAACTCCGTTTTGCTGTGGGTAACAAATTCAAAACACCCATTGAATGCCTCATCATTTAAGTATTCCATTGTGTACCGCTAAGAGAAATACTAGAAAAGAAAAAAGAAGCTAAAATCACAATGTTTCACTTTCTCACTGGGCCGGTGACACCCCAGAGTGGTGTAACCATCAGATGGTGCTGGAAGTGGTGGCCAAAGCTTCTCGGACAAGGACTGTATTTAAGGAGAGCTCAGCAGTCATGGAAATTGTTAATTTGGTCAATTTAATAGGACACATGCAGCTTTGCTCCTGAACACACTTTTTTCAGGTTGAAGTCTTTCTAAAAACAATATACCTTTGATAATGACAGAGGAGTTGAATCGTGCAAAAGTGAGACCCACGTGCTTCTTTTCAGAAAGCCCCCGTTCTGACTGCCGCTCTCACAGTCCCCTATCAGCTGAAAACTTTGTGTCTGAGAGTTCTCACCCTGATGCTGTCACGGCCTGGGTGACCTCAGACAAGTCACTGAGCCCTGCCAGCCTGCTCTCTCAAGGAATACTGTGAATCCAAATTCATCTTCATTGTCATCGTTGAGTGGAAGAAAAGAATTGTCCTTGCAAACATATGCACCGTGGCATCAGTGTGCTGTGACAAAGTGTAGCACTGATGTTGTAAATCCTTGTTCAAATGTTTCTGAAAATCTGTAAGATGAGTTTTTCTACTTGCTCTACCACCGAAACCTGAAACCCTCATGGGGTTTTCTCTAGATAAGCCAAAAGAAAAAGCCATTGAGGGATGTGACAGTCTAGGCCGAGTCCTCAGGTTGGAACTGGCTTGAGAAGGCCAGAGTTCAACTTTTGTGTTCTTGAAAGCTAATTAAATAATTTCTGACAGCTGGGAGATACAGACCTCAAACTCCAGTAAGGGAGGGTTTACCTCTTCTTGTCTGATGATATTTTTTTTGTCCCCTTGTGACATTTATCAGAATAAGCTCTCTACGACGGTAGCACCAAGGGGTCTTACTCTGTTTTTATATCTCTTCTCACAAAGGGACCTCACAATACAAATGCTTAAAGGCTGTCTTCAAAGTCAGGGGCAGAACAGTTGTAACAACTGCAGTTTTCATGCTGAATCAGACGAAAGCAGATATTTTCAGCTGAAATATAGAATACAAATAGCTGTCCCTGTACACGTGTGTATGTGTGTGTGTGTGTGTACTTACTCAGGCCTGATTAAAACCAGACCACACACTTGAAACTGTTCACCATTTCCCTTTAATTGGTTTTTACAAACTATTTTAGTGGATACTGTCTACACACTCTCAAAGTGTCACTCTTGGTATAACAAGGAGGATTTGGGGTGTTTAAAAAAAGAACCAAAAGAAAACCACAAAAGAAACAGAAAAATGTGGAGTGTGTTTCTGCTTAGTCTAAGAGATGAAAGTCGAGTGGGAACAACCTAAGAGGTACACGTTTCATTTTTTTGTCCTTACAGAGAAAGTGAGCAAAGAGCACAATCATACAAAAGAAAATACCATCCGGACAACCACCAGGTAGGCCACTTCGTGTGGGGGCCCCTTGGGACTCCCCTGTGTGGGCCATCAGGCCTGTGTCATGTGTTGAACAGTGTTCCCCAAACTACTTTCTCCCCTGGGCTCTATGGAGTCACACTCTTTACTGCCACTTCCTACCAGAACTTCTTCAATGGTGGAAACATAGAGACAGCAAGGGCAAAAACCAGGGAAGATCATGAACACTTACTATCTAATAGGTATCCCTTCGCTGGGGAATTTTCCATATGCTGGTTTGTATGCCTTATGATACTTTTATGAAGTTGACGTTATTATTGTGAACTTTGCAGAAGTTTCTTGAGAGCTTTAATGGGTGGTGTGGTGTGACTGGGAGCTGGAGAGAATCCCATGAAAGCCTTGCCTAGAGGATAAACTGAGGTTCTTATTACATCTGCGCTCCTAACTGGTTCTGCAGCTGTGGGCTGATAGCTTGTCACCAAGAATATCCCCAATTTTTTTTAACCTCACAGTATTATTTGGAGGGCAATTTTTTTTTTTTCAGAAGATAATGCTTTTTTAAAAATTGCAAAAAAAAAAAGGCTGTACCATTCACAGTTGTGGGAAAGGATGCTTCCTATTTGCCAGGGGCAGTTTGAAGATATCTGCCAGTTGTGGGGGGGATGCATTATGAAAAGAGGAAGACAGGCCAGTGTCACCATTGCTCAAACTGAGACTCAAAGGTCACCCAGACCTGAACTGCTACAGGCAGGAGCCAATGGCCAAAACCCTCAATCTGCAGGATAAGAGCTCGGGGGAGATGCAACCCCCACCTGAAAGCACCATCCTCAACCCCCAAACTAGTTTTTGAGTTCGCCCAAGATGAGGGCTTCTCAGGATGAACAAGAGGGAACTGAATTTATGTGGCGAACCGCTAAGAACAGGAGGAACTAGCCATGGGCCACCAAGGAGTCTGCGTCAAGGAACTTGGCTTTCTTGAGCCAGCACCGACCGTGCCTTCTCCCTGGGAACAGTTGATTGGTTTTGTGCTTCTAATTCTCGCAACAAAAGAGAAATGTTTCTTCTCGATGTCTTGTGAGTTGACCTCAGAGCACCATCAGGCATGTGGATGGGCAGCCCTCATTGGAGCTTTACCCTGAGTTTTAAAAAAAAATCATATGAATTGGAATTTAAGAATACCAAATAGTAAGCAGTACTTCAAGCAGTCATCTGGCCTCACACTGGGCTCTAGAGAAGAAGCTCTAGAATCTAATAGAACAGGAGAATGGCGTGGGCCTTGTCTCCGTATGTACCCGGGTGGGAATTAACGCTTGTGAAGGTGCTCTGTAGATTGCCTTGTCAGATGGGTTGGGTGTTTGGGGTGGAAAGGCCATTTTGTTTATGAAATTAGGAGCTGTGAGTGACTATGGCACTGGGTGGGGGTAGGGGCGCTTCAAAAAGTTCATGAAAACACGTATTATGAAAAAACTATGCATGAATTTCAAAGTACTTTTTTGCACCAAGATAAACTCATACTTTAATTCTATTCTGGTGAACCTTTTGAAGTCCCCTCCTATAGACTCCAGCCTCTCCTACAGATAATTACAAAGCTATTTGCATATCTCCTTGTGCCCATGGGTCTGAACACTGATGAAACGAGCCAGATTGGTAGACACTTAAAGACGGCAGTCTCAAAATAATAACTGTCCATTTGCATTGGCTCCTTAGGATTCTTGAAGTATCATAGGTTGGGTTCCCTAGAAGCAGAGCTTGAGACAAGGATTCTGCATTGGTGCATTACTGAGGGAGTGCTCTGAGAGGAGCCTGCAGGGACTTGATGAGAAGGAGCTGAACAAGGATGTGTTCTGTCTGGCTCCCAGATTCAGCTTCCTCTCCAGGGAGTTCTGGAGCAGGAATTGCACCACATTCATTCACGAGCTTCAGGTCACCCCTGAAGGTGTAGGTGTAGGGTGACCCTCCTGTAGGGGAGGTGTAGCCTTCCAGTGGGAGGGATCCAACAGGGAGGGCAATTTTCAGTCACAGACAGCAGGTAGCACTCACAGCACCTCATGGGAGGGTGCCCTGGGGTGATAAGGAGGACCTGGGCAGGGCCCCACCAGTGCCCTACCACAGGTCTGCAGATGTGTTTGCTGTGTTTGCAAGTGGCTGGGTGCACTCTACTCTTTAAGAGTACATGCTAATATTTTTATGACAAAAGGAATGCTGAAAGTCCATGGTATTTATGCTTTTCTTAAGTGTTCTCTGGGACTAGGTAAGGGGAGGTTTGAACTAGCCCCAAACAAGTGAAATGCACCTCAAACCTAAATGGCCTTAGTTGCAGCTGAAGCTTAATTACAAGATAGAAGAGAATTGTTTTTGTCTAATCATTTGGCAAAAAATGAAGCAATCCTAACATCCTCTCCTCTCACTGGGAGATTATGAATAAGGAGAAATCCAACCGTCTTTTGCCCAAAGCAAAGGCGGATGTGCTTCCGGTGAGCCCCCAGCACGGCACAGTGTTGAGAAATTAGTATTCCCGAATTCTTGCTTTACAGTCCTAGGAATCCTTGGTGTGTTTTCATTCTTCCTTGAGTAGGCAACTTGCTCAGTTAGCCCATCCACAAACGGCACTCTTATCTCTCACCTCATTACCTCAGGGGGAACAGAATCTATATTATGCCAAGAAATCCTCTTTAATTGAGTTACCCAGTACTAAACCCAGAAAAGTAAGAAAAAAAGCCAACTCTTTTCTTTCTCTCCTTTCCTGATTCTTGTTTTAAAGAGAACTCTTTGTATGTATAAGGGCATAAGGTCAGTGTCTGGATATTTTTTTTTTAAGGTTGTTTGCCATAGGACGTGGGCGTTCACCAGAGGGAGGGAAAGTGAGAAATTATCCCCCAGGGGGGATGGCCACACTGCAATCCCTTCTCCTCCAGTCTCCTCCTGGGATTTTAGGCACACACACACATGCATTTGGTGCAGGTTTTTTTGTTTTTTTTTTTAAGTCGCCAGTTCCAGGACTCTAACCATGATCAGCCATCAAGGAGTCCAGCACCTTAACCACTACACCGCCCACCGGCCCCTAGAGTATGTTTTACATTATGACTTGTCAGATCTAAAAGTCCAAATGACACATCAAACCTCTGAATTTCCATGTCTCCAGATTTTTAAGCAGTTAGTAGGTCATTTGTTTAGTTACCAGAGTTCCTGTGTTTCACGTCCTAGAAGACACTAGCTGTTCAGAATGATGGCTCACGGTGGAAATCAGGTTCAGAATTTGCTGTGTTTGCGGGTGGCTGGGCGCACGCACGATCGCTGCGTGAAGGGCAGCCCTAGGATCCTGGCCTACCACAGCCCCAAGAGCAGTCCTTCCCACACCCTCTGTATGACAGTGGAGACCTGAGCCATCCCACTCACTGTCATCTCCTGCCCCTGGGGTCTGCCTGTCTAAGGGGACACAGGGCAGAAAAGACAAGAGGAAAAGGAGCTGACCTGCCCCTCGTCCTTTGTCAACAACTTCCTTCACAGTCGTTTATCAGAATTGAACGTGACGCTCATTCCAGCCGCAAGAACTAGGAAAGGGTGCGGCAACCCCAGGAGAACTCCGTAGCTTGGTGTTCTGGCAGGTGCTCAGCAGTGAGACCCAAGGGTGCGATTTCCATGCACAGGTACCTGGAGAACATGAAGCCTGAGGGTGTATATAAAGGCTCTTCAAAAAAGGCCCATTTTTCGTTTCATGAAAAATGTATATTCTGAAAAAAACTATGCATGTATTTCAATATATTGTTTTGCACCAAGATAAACTCATACATTAATTCTGTCATTCCATGAACTTTTTTTTTTTGGAGAAGTTTTTGCTATAGGGCGCTTGCGCTCGCCAGAGAGACAAAAAACAAGAAATCACTCCCCAGGGGAGATGGCCATGCTGCAATCCCTTCTCCTCCCTTCTCCCCTTGGGATCTTGGGCATGCACGCACACGCACCTGGCATGTGGGCACGAGACGCGAACCAAGTTTGACTGCATGGGAGTCCAGCGATATAGCCATTATGCCAACTGCTAGTCCCCACTTCTGTGAACTTTTTGAAGTCCCCTTGTATAGTGAACTCGCTCTCCCATAAGGGCCGATGACTACACCTCCCTCTTCATCAAATCCTCCTTCCTCGTGTCTATGCTTTGGCGGTTCTGTCTTCGTTAATGAAGAGCACATGTGGAGAGAGAAAACGGTATGAGACAGCATTCCTTGTTAGCAATTTTTTAGAAGTTTACATGAAGCTAAAGATTGAAACTAATAACTAGCAAGTTCTAGATCATTGATTCCATAACTCATTTTAAAAAAAAAAAAAACTCTTAGGGGCGGCAGAAGGCAGCATGGTGGGTAGGGCGCTCGACTCCCACATGGTCAACTGCAGTTCAAGTCCCAGACCTGTTGGCTTGCTTTCTCACTTTCCCTCTCTTTTTCTCTCTCTCCGATGACTGTAGCAAGTCAAAGAATAAAAAGAATAATAAATAAAAAAAAATAATTCTTAAAAAATAAAAAAATGTAAAATCGTAGAACAGAAAACTTCAAGTGGAGTGCAAGTACCTAGTTTAACCAGTTACCAATTCATGGTTTAGACTGTTTCATCTATACTCCTTTTCTCTCTTCCCTCCCCCCTAGGTTATTTCAAAGCAAATCCCAGATATTGTTCTAAGAACTGGTTTGAAAATGCCTGGTTTTCATCCTAAGAACTTAGTATCAGCTGCTTACATTAGGATCACCTTACCACAAATAAAGGAGAAAAGCAATCCGCCAAAGGGCACCACGTAGCCAGGCAGAAAAATCGATCTGTTTAGCAGCTAAAAGGATTGGACCGTGTGGCCCCTGCTCAGCCGTGCCTTGACCTTGTCCTCTGCCCTTGTTTGTGCCCTCACAGGGGCACCTCTGTCGAATCAGCCCTTCCATTGGAACTTCACCCCTAAGTGCTAAAACAGCTGTCCTTGCGCCAAGCCTAGAAAATGCAATCTGAGTGGAAAGAAGGCTGTGGGCCTCCTTTGAGATCATGCGGCCTGAGGGTTCTTAATACCATTCTATCTGACAGATAAAACGGGGAGAGAGACCCAGCCAGACCCTTGAGAACAGAAGGACCGAACATTCTTGAGACTGATAAAATCCTGCCTTTCCTGTTTCCTTCCCCAGCCCAAGCCTAGGTTCTGCAGGGAGCAGATAACCAGCTATGATGATCAGAGGGTAGATGAAAATACATGAGGCATGATATCATAACCAGATCCCCAAGTTTAATGGAGTAAAAAGAAGATCTGTATCTTTAGACATGGACCATCACCCAGCCAGATGCTGGATAAGATCGAAGTAGGCAAATGGAACCCTAGAGTGAGAGTCAGATAGCTCCTGGCAGGTGAACTGGACATGCTCAATGTTGTGTGACACCATGAACCGCAAACAATGGCTGCCAGGAAGCCTCTCTTGGTTATTTGTCTTTCTTCTCCCCATTAATAATTCAGGACCCATAGGGATATACGATTGCAGGCCTATAAGAAAACTTCTCACACCTGGCTTGCTTTATCCCAAAAGGAAGCGTCGGCCTGAATTGTCCTTTGCTCCATTACTAGACAAAAAGCAGAAGTGAGAAAAGCAGAGAATGGCAGACTCCTATCATGCCGTGCAGACCAACATTCAATTTCCCAATTTTCGGAATGTGAGATGTGGGCTATTTGCCCATGGTTTAGATAATGGCACATGCAGTGTTTACTGAAAGACGTATTTGCTCAGAATTGTCCAGTGAGTTTTCCTGTGCAGTGGATTGGATGCATGTCCTTAAATGTTTATGGTTCAGTAAAGAAAACTGCACAAATTTGTAAAGGCATGATGCCTCAATTCATGCAATTTCTGCTTCTCATTTTTTTTTGGGGGGGGGAAGACCTAAGAGAATAATGCTCTATTACTTTAAAAAGTAAATGATTCCTGGGGCCAGCAGGTGGCATGGTTGTTAAGGCACTGGACTCTCATATGGCAAACCATGTTCAAGCCCTAGATCTGATAACTTGAAAATCCCACAGGACATGTGTGCATCCATGCTGAAAATCCTGAAAGGAGAATGGAAGAGAAGCGATTGTGGCCCGGGGGTTATTTCTCTGTCTCTCTTCAGTGTGTGCACATGTCCTATGGCAAAAACCTAAAAAAAAAAAAAGTAAAATGAACACTGAATTAGATAAAAGCAATTAAGAAACAGGAAACAGAGCAAACGGATTTGGTGATTTTCAAATAACTGTCCATGTATTCGCTTTACCTATTACATTTGGTGCCTTTAAGATAAAATGCACTGAGAGTTCTTTTTGAGAGATTTTTGCTATAGGGCTTGTGTGCACACTGGAGAGAAAGAGAGACAGAAAGCAAGAAATCACCCCTGGAGGGTGGGGGGAATGGCCACACCATAGTCTTGACTCCTCTTGGGATTTTGGAAACACACACATGGATCAGCATAACTTCCAAACCTCTGGATCTAGGACTCGAACCTTGTTCAACCATGTGGGAATCTAGTGACATACCCATTACGCCAGCTGCTGGTCCCAAAATGCACTGAGAATTCTATTTCTATACTAATTTCATGAAACCCTTTCTGTTATGGTAGTCCTTTTTTTTTTTTAAAGTGAAATCCAGGCTGTTTGGGGGCCTCATGGTGCCTAAAAAGATGCCCTTCTTCCATATACTGCGATTTACTAGACTACTGTCGCAATAAATGTTTAAATCTTGTCTGTCTGTGATGTTAACAAGCTCCCTAGACGTGGTGCCTTGAGCAGTGAACAACCTGCCCTGTTGTCTGCAGCTGCCCTGCTTCAGAGGCTGACTCGCAAGTCTTTCGTTGGACATACAGCCTTTGCTACTTTGCTTTGAGTTTTCGTTTTTTCAATGAACTCGTCCTCAAAAGCAGTGGATTTTTTAAAAATACAGAAACATATAGCCTGAAACTGGCTTGTGCATTCGTTGTGTGTGTTTCATGGGCATTTCTTACCTTCAGGTTTCACCATGGTCTTCTCTGTATTTTTATTTATGCCCGTATTCCACTGTCCTGTAGGTATTACCCTCTGTCCTTTCTCCCATTCCGGATGGCTCCACTGACTCGTTAATGTTGAAACAATATGCTTCCAGAACTATCCATTGTATTCCTCTAAAGAAAAAAAAAGTTTAAATCTCCTTTTCAGGATATGAAGGAGGCTGTGTCTTTTTTTACTTAATTTCCCGTGGACACTCACACCTTTATTTCTATTGGCTTGCAATAGTATTTTGTCTTGTTTGTAGAACTCCTAGTAGCCGGGAATGGAATGTAACCTTGTAAGTCTCTGCAAGTAGCCACCCGGCACTACCGCTGATAGCTTATGAGGGAGTGACATAACCAGGAGGTATGTGTGTGGCTTCAGGCCTGCTTTTCAATTTGCTATAGGGTGTGTGTGCTTACCAGACAGAGACAGAGAGAGAGGAAAAAAAGAGGGGACAAGTGAGAACATACCCCCGAGGAGAATGGTCATGCTGTAATCCCTTCTCCATTTCTCCTTTTGGGAGTTTGGGCATGTGTATGCACACACACACACACACACACACACACACACACACACACACACCATGTTTTCAAGCTCCTAAATCCGGGACTCAAATCATGCAGTCATATATGTGGGATCCAGCTGCCTTAACCACCAGGCCATGGACTGGCCCAGGCCCATACTTCTTATCTGGGATTTCTCTCGAGTGTCTCTGTGGTGATGACTAGAAATATTAGGTAGGGGGGCCTGCAGGTGGCATGGTAGTTAAGGACACAACTCCTACATGGCTGCCTCAGTTCAAGTGCTGGATCTGGCAGCTTTCTTTCTCACTTTCTCTCTCTCTCTCTCACTCTCGCTCTCTCTCAGTCTGTCACTCTATGGTCACATTAAAATAAATAAATAACATTAAGTACAATAAAATAATTCTTACGAAAAAAAAGGAAATATTAGGTCAGAAAAGTCGTGACATATTTTTCTATTTTCTATGTTTTTCTGTGCAAAATGCATCATGACTTTTCTAATGACCCACTATATTACCTGGCCTCTGTTCTGGGGAGAGGCAGCCTCTGATGTGATGGGTAAGCCAGGGCAGCACCCCCTCTGCGCTGGCGCTACCTACAGGCCACCATGCGACAAAGCGTCTCACTACCACCGCAGAGAAGACGGGGTGCGCCTGTCCCCTGCCCACCTCAAGAAAGCCGTTGTCCTGTGGCTGTGTGAAGCCAGGTTCCTGCGGGAGGTCCGGGTCCCTCCACAGCCTGACATTTGGAGAATCCGGACGTGCAGGGTTCACTTCCTTGGGCTGCGGTTGGCTCCACTCCCCCGAGCTGGCCTCTCTGCCGTGGCGGCCCTCGACAAGGCCTGGCATTGTGCTCCTTGTCCTGAGAAGTTTCCTGGCTGCACAGAGCATGAATGCTCCAGCCAGGGCCACAGGAACTCATTCCTTGAAATCTCGGTGTTAGGTTGTACGGACTGGCCTCCCTTGAAGACGGCCTTGAACAGAAGGCATTTGTACTCTTTAAAGAAGAAAACACAGAATGTTACCAACATATATTTTCTTCCTAAGAGGCTCTGTTTTTCTGCGACAGTATTTTATACGACCTCTCCCTTCCATGCCTTTCGGGCTGCTGAAACTGAAGCAGGCCGAGGGGAAAGGTCATAATTTAGATGCACTTGCTTCTGCCAGTGTCTGCCAAGAGCCCTCAGCTTTTGCTCTGCAAAAGACCAAGAGTATTTTCAAAAATAAATGACCCTAAACAGTAAAACTTAAAGTTTTTGTTTGTTTTGTTTTAATTTGCTACTGAGCATGTGCACTTACTAAAGAGACAGAAAGAAACTGAGATATCACACCCCGAGCCCCCCTACTCCCGAGAGATGGTCAGATGCAGTCCCTTCTACCCCATTCTCCTCTCAGGATTTTGGGCATGCATGCACACGTGCCAGACGTGTTTCTCACGGCACTGGATCTGGGACTGGAACTGTGCAGTTGACTATATGGGATCCACCCACCTTAACCACTACACCACCAGCTGGCCCCAAAACTTAAGAGTTTTTTTAAGTTTTAAAAATAACTTGTATTCTCAAGAATATAGGCACACATAAAGAAGGATAAATAACCAGGACCAGCAGTTGGCATAATGGCTATGTCACTGGACTCCCATGTAGTCCAGCTGCAGTTCGAGTCTCGGACCCAGTGCCTTAGACTCACGCCGGGTGTGTGTGCGTGCGTGCCCAAGATCCCGAGAGGAGAACAGAGGAGAAGGGACTGCAGCGTGGCCATCCCCCCTGGGGGGTGATTTCTCGCTTTCTGTCTCTCTGTCTCTTTCTTTCTGGCGAGCTCATGTGCCCTATAGCAAAAACCTCTCCAAAAAAGGGAAGAATAATCACTGTTAACCCTACTGCCCAGACAGAGCTGCTGCTAAGTCGGCAGTATACATACTTGCTGATTATTTTTCTTTTTATGTGTGTATTCTTTCTTATAAAAACTATATTCTACTACATATACAGTTCTGTAATCTTCTCTTTTCACCGAGCAATATATTAAGAGTACCTTTCCATGTCAATAAACACAACTCACTGTTATTCTTTTAATGTTTGCACAGTGTTTAGTGTTTGCATGTATTATAATTTATTTAATCGGTTCCCTGTTACTGAATATCAATGGCCCTCCTCCAAGTTGTTAATAAAAACAGTGCTAGAATAGAATGACTTGAAACACATTCATATTATTTAGGCTTTTGCTATGAATTGTCAAATTGACTTTAGAAAGGTTGAATCTACAAGGGCCAGCCAGTGGTATGGTATAGTGGTTAAGGCATTGGATTCCCACATGGCTGACCACAATTCAAGTCCTGGACCCGGCAGCTTGAAAATCATGATGTGCACGGGAATGTGCATGGCCAGAATCCCAAGAAGAGAATGGAAGAGAAAGGGTTGTGGTGTGGCCATCACCCCTGGTGGGGGAGGGGAGTGATTTCTTACTTTCCATCTCTCTGTCTCTGACTCTGTCCTGAGAGTGCATATGCTCTATGGCACAAACCTAAAAAATTGAAATTAAAAAACAAAAAAGGTTGAATCTACAATCCTTCCAGGAGCTACTAAGAGAGAGAAAGAATTGCAAAACTCTGACCAACTCTGTGCTTTACCAATGAAAGATACTTGGAGTGGAGGAAACCCCCATGGCATAGCAGTGAGGCACTACAAAGAGAGCCAGATCCTACATGACCGACTGCAGTTCAAGTCCTAGTCCTGGTGGCTTGAAAAGCATGCCGGGCACATACATGCAAGGTCCAAGAGCCCAACAAGATGGAGTGTTGGAAGAAAAAAGATTGTGGCATGAGCAAGCCCCATTGCAAGGTGGGGACTTCATCTGTCTCTCTGTCTCTCTGTCTCTCACTTGTGTGCACCACGTGCCCTCTGGCATTATTTTTTTTTAAGTCAGCTGGGGAGTTAACATCGTATCTTATCATTAAAAGCTATTTGTTTACTGATGCCTAGTGCTGTTGAGCATCTGGTGTGCAGGGAAGTATTTCTATTTCTTTTGTGTACTTTCACTGTCATCTACTACTCTGGTTGGTGGTTTGTCGGGACTGACTTTTTGGCTTGGCTGTTGCTATTGGTTTTTTTATTATTATGAAAAATTTTTAAAACAAAGTACAAGGAGTAAGATAGCAAATCCCCATAGTTCTATCACCCAGATTGAACAATTTCTAACACTTTGTTATACTCGCTTCACCAATCCTTTTTCTCCCCAGATTTTAAATCACATCCCAGATATTATACATCCACTTCCAGATATTTTGATATACATTTATCTCTTAAAAAATAAGGCTATTTCCTACAATACTATTTCATAGCTTACAACGTCGTCCCCACCTTTAGCTTTTAATGGCTGAGACGATTCTGTTTGATCAACACCAACCAAATAAACAGCCACATCAATGAGACAGGAGGAGAAGACATATCTCGTCACCTCATGCCGGACACATACATGCAAGGTCCAAGAGCCCAACAAGATGGAGTGTTGGAAGAAAAAAGATTGTGGCATGAGCAAGCCCCATTGCAAGGTGGGGACTTCATCTGTCTCTCTGTCTCTCTGTCTCTCACTTGTGTGCACCACGTGCCCTCTGGCATTATTTTTTTTTAAGTCAGCTGGGGAGTTAACATCGTATCTTATCATTAAAAGCTATTTGTTTACTGATGCCTAGTGCTGTTGAGCATCTGGTGTGCAGGGAAGTATTTCTATTTCTTTTGTGTACTTTCACTGTCATCTACTACTCTGGTTGGTGGTTTGTCGGGATTGACTTTTTGGCTTGGCTGTTGCTATTGGTTTTTTTATTATTATGAAAAATTTTTAAAACAAAGTACAAGGAGTAAGATAGCAAATCCCCATAGTTCTATCACCCAGATTGAACAATTTCCAACACTTTGTTATACTCGCTTCACCAATCCTTTTTCTCCCCAGATTTTAAATCACATCCCAGATATTATACATCCACTTCCAGATATTTTGATATACATTTATCTCTTAAAAAATAAGGCTATTTCCTACAATACTATTTCATAGCTTACAACGTCGGCCCCACCTTTAGCTTTTAATGGCTGAGACGATTCTGTTTGATCAACGCCAACCAAATAAACAGCCACATCAATGAGACAGGAGGAGAAGACATATCTCGTCACCTTAAAAAGTTAAAGCCAGAGGCCAGCTCCACATCCAGCTGGATCCCACATGGCTGAATGCATGCATGCGCGATTTGAATCCTGGATCCAATGACTTGATAAACACGCCAGGCGTGTGTGTGTGTGTGCGTGTGTGTGTGTGTGTGCGTGTGTGCCCAAAATCCCAAAAGGAGGGAGAAATGGAAGAGAAGGGATTGTCACATGTGCCCTCTGGGAGGAGGGATGATTTCTTTTCTCCCTCTCTCTCTGTCTCTCTGGAGAGCACATGTGCCCTCTAGCAAAATGAAAGAAGGGGGGAAAAAAAGGACAGGAGAGAGAGGAGAGGAGAAGAGAAAAGAAAGAGAAAGAAAGAGATGAGGTGAGGAAGAAAATGAAAGCAGGGAAACCAGTGCCGCCGTGGTGGGAGAATGATGGAGTGACCTTGAATCCCCTCTGCCCGCAAGCCCCATTTAGAAACCCACGGCATCAGCCATGCCAGCCTCAGCTTTCAGATGAATGTCCCAGCTGAAGCTGGCCAACATCTAGAGATTAATTCAGGTTTTATTCTCTACAGTCCCTCTTTCTTGGAAAACTGTGTGAGCCTAACATGATCGATGACCAGGTTTCCAGGCTCAGCCCACCGAGGTCAAAGGAGGACACTGTTATGTCTCTTTTAAGTTTGAATAAGGAATTTTCTGCTTTGGATGGTCAAGGTTGTGTTCAGAGACTCAGAGTCATTTTTAATCTTGAACACGCTTCTCCACCCCCACAAACCCTGACGTGCCACCGAGGGTCCTTTTTATTACAATAATAAATAAACAAAACCATTCAAGAACGCAGTCCTTGTTTCTGTGGTGTCAAGAAGGGAAGGCCTGTGTTCACGAGTGTATTAAAGCTGTGTTTCCTTTTGTCGTGGGTTACCTTTTTAACAGACTGTTAGAATGTTAGTAAGAAAACTGGCACCACCGTTTACACACACACTCTGCATCACGAATAAAATTTAAAAATCTAATTTTTTTTTGAGAGGTTTTTGCTATAGGGCGCGTGCACTCGTCAGACAGACAGAGACAGACAGAGAGACAGAAAGTGAGAAATCACTCCCCAGAGGGGATAGCCATGCCGTAATCCCTTCTCCTCCATTCTTCTCTCAGGATCTTAGGCACACATGCACATGCGCCCGGCGTGAGTTTTAAGCCACCAGGTCTGGGATGTGAACCGCGGTCGACTATGTGGGAGTCCAGTGACATAGCCATTATACTAACTGCTGGTCCCTAAAAATCTAATTTTTAAAAAGTTGTTACATAACATGATGCATAGCTGAATTAAGTGCTTTTACTTGAAGATAAACCTTTTTTCCCCCCATTCACTAAAGAAGTTTGTCTTTGGGGACCAACAGGTGGCATGGTGGTTAAGGTGCTGAACTCCCACATGGGTGACCACGATTCAAGTTCCAGACCTGGCAGCTTGAAAAATCACACCAGGTGCATGTACGTGTATACCTGAAATCCCAGGAGGAAAATAGAGGAGACTGGGGACCAGCAGTTAGCGTAATGACTATGTTGCTGGACTCCCATGTAGTTGACCACAGTTTGAGTTCTTGACCTGGTGGCTTAAACTCACGCCAGGCACGTGTGCGTGCATGCCCAAGATCCCAAGAGGAGAATGGAGGAGAAGGGATTGTGGTGTGGCCATCCCCGCTGGAAGGTGATTTCTCACTTTCTATCTCTCTGTCTCTGTCTTTCTGGTGAGCGCACACACCCGATAGCAAAAGCCTCTCCAAAAAAAAAAAAAAAGAGAGAGAGAGAGAGAGAATAGAGGGGACGGGATTGTGGCATGAACATCCTCTCTGAGGACG